TGGCTGTGTGTGACAGTCATTGGCCTGGAATTTGACATTGGGTTTTTCTTGTGGAAGGTGAGAATCCTTCCATTTGAACCACCTAGGGTATGGTATTCTCAACACCTACACTAAATTATAGACAGCCTGTTTTATCGCTGCTGAAACTACGTTTAACACTTAACCTTCTTCAGACACTTTTCTAAGTACTTGATGTTTCTTTTCATCTTTGCAATTACTCTTTTAGAAAAGTACTCTATTTCACAGGTGAGAATTTGGGGGGAAGATAAAAAGGTCAAGAGACATTCCTAAGATTAAACATATAACTTAGAGCTCACTCGGGATTTAACCCAAGGGGTATCTTTCTAAAATCCAAATTGAATGACCAAGCTAGATTGCTTTTGAAAATCTTTAAGAGGTTTGCAAGTGTTTCTCCTAAACTCTGTTTTTAGGTTGCTAAGTCTAAGAAATGGATTCCCATAACTCCAGAGGTATATGGGAATCTCTCTTTTTGTTGGTATTGACTCTATTGGCATGGTATCTGGCTTAGAGTATTCAGCAATAAGTGATTACTGAACAGGACTCATGCAACCTGCTTGTGAAAACAATCATCTCGGCTTCTCTAACATTATCCACCACTAACTTCCTTCTGACCCCTCTACCTCCTCCTTTTCAATGAGCTTTTCTTCAGAAGCCCTTGAGTGGAAGCTGCCCTTATTGTTTTATCCCAGGCCCACTTCTTGATTCCTTGGATCCCCTCTCCCTGATCCCTCAGCCACTCTAATTATTTTGTACATGCTGATATCGCACACATTTTTATCTGTAGTCCAGTTTCTCTCCTAAAATTAAAACTCACATAGTAAACTTTCTGATGAAATGGAATGTTTACTGTTTACTCAAAATTACGTATGTCCTAAATTTAATTTATCTTCCTATTCTCTGGTCACTTCCCAAACTGACTACCACCTGTTTTCTCAGTTAATGTTATCACGATCCCAAAACTTTCTAAGTCAGGAAGCTGACTTCTCCCTCTTTCTTATTTTTCACACTCAACCATTCAGCAAGACCTGTTGAGTCCACATTTTAAATTGCTCTTAAATCTGCCCTCTTTGCTTTCCCCTGGGTTAAAGCAGCTCTTAAGGCCCAATTGAATGTCATTTCCTCATGGACCCTCTGAGACATAGCTTCCTCTTAGTACTTCATCTTCATCTCTATGTTAGTCTGAGATGTAAGTCTGAGTCTCTATGTTAGTCTGAGTTAGTTAGAGAAACAAATCCACAGAAACTCATGTATAAGAGAGAGTTATATAAAGGTTAAGTGTGCCTCAAGCAAACATCCCAACCCAGTGCTGCCCAAGCCCACAAGTCCAACATTAACCCGTACATCCAACACCAATCCACAAAGTCCTCCTCCATCTCACAAAACAGATGCAACGATGCCCCAACTGCAGGAGGAAAACCGAGTCAGTGAATGTGTAAGCATCTCAGCGCTGGCAGGGGTCTCCACCTGGGTGCTCCAGCACCCAGGACTGCATCAGGGTAGGTCTATGTGGCTTTTCATTAGGGACGTCTTGCAGGAAGTGAGCCTTGCCAGCTAAAGCACGGAACTGGCTACGGCAGCTGCACCCTGGTCCAACCATCAGGAAGCAAAATACCTGAGAACTAGAAAGACAAGGCTCTCTGATACATTTATCCCTCCACCCTTCAATTAACCCCACATGTGTTTATCGGCCAGGTTGGCACAATAAACTTATTACCTCATCTCTTTCCTTGGCAAAGCACCTTAGGCATTATGAACTGAATTCCGTGCTCACCTACCTTTTCTGATCCATCGCTTGGAATACTCATCTTCTTACTTCTCCTTCTTCCCTCAACTTGTCTGACTAATTTCTATAGTCTCTCAGGCCTCCATTAATATTACATACTCCAGAGAACATTCCCTCACCTTCTAGGTCTTAGTTATATCCCTCTCTTCTGGGATCCCATAGAACAGTGTATTTTACCAAAGCACTCACCCCATTGTACTGCAACTATATGGTTCACTGCTTGCAAGGTGAGGGAAAAGACGGTAGCAATAACACTAAAAATAGCAACAACAAAGCATACAGGATTGCAATGACTCAATACAGTAAGTGTATTTATCTTTAATGAAATGTCCAGTGAGGGACCAAATCAATGACGAATATTCTGTTTCACGCATTCAAGAATATAGGCTTTGTCATCTTTTTCCCCCCTAGGTTGCCCTGCATGATAATATCTGGATAATAAAGGATAAAAGATTATGGATGATTATACATATGGGGTTTATAGTCTTGATTTTGAAATACTAACAGTCATCACTCCTGCTCATGTTCCATTGCCTAGGTACTCAGAATACGGTCAGCTCCACAGAGGAAAGCAGGAAAGGGTAGTTTAGCTGTCCCCATGAAGAAAACCTGTAACCTCCATGAAGGCATGCTATTTCCCCACTAGGCTTTCAATAAATATTATTTAAATGGATCAACCTGTGCACACCCTGCTTCAGCACATTTTTTTCCTGCCCATCCTGATCATGGTTGTCTGTTGAAAATCCTCATTCAGTATCTTCTAAAAAGGCATCTGAGATTGGTAAGGTTTATTGTGCCAACCTGGCCAAGAAACGCATGGGATTAATTGAAGGGTGGAGAGATAAATGGCTCGGTGAGCCTTGCCTTTCTGGTTCTTGGGTCTCTTGCTTTCTGATGGTTGGACCAGGGTGCAGCTCCCTTAGCCAGTTCCCTGCTTCAGCTGGCAAGGCTCACTTCCTGAAAAACATCCCTGAGGAGAAGCCACATGGATTTACTCTGATGCAGCTCTGGGTGCTGGAGCAGCCACATGGAGACCCCTGCCAGCACTGAGATGCTAACACACTCATTGATTCAGCTTTCCTCCTGCAGTCAGTATCATTGCGTATGTTTTGTGAGATTGAGGAGGACTTTGTAAATCGGTGTCAGGCATATGGGCTAATATTGCACTTATGGGATTGGACAGCACTGGGTTAGGATGCTTTTTTAATGGACACTTACCCTTTATATAAAACTCTCTTCTATGCATATGAGTTTCTCTAGTTTACCCTGACAAACAGCTTCTAACATATCTCCCCTTGTCTAACTGGCTCACGAGCTGCATCTAGAGGAGAGTCATTCTATCTAGAATGACTGGTGACATGCCTGATGGTATGTTCACAGCCAAGAGTGGGTCTGCATGGCCCAGAGAGAGCTGAGTCACCTGTCCTACACTAAAGATGGGAAGGATATGCTCTTCAATTTTGAGGAGACGTTTGCATCTCACCTGTGAGCTTCCTGACTCTGATCCTATATGGTAGCCTGTTATTTCTGAATTAATTCTGTTCCATCCAAGTTGCTCCTGATTGTGTTGCAACTATTAACTTGCTTAATAAGTTATGTAAATGTAAGAATGGTTTATAAGTTCTGTGTAGCCATTGCAACCAATTATCACACCCAGGAAGAAGTAGTGAGTACCCCCATGGGGAGGATGGCTAGTATCAGGCTGGTGACATGGTTGGTGAGGGGAAGTAGATCTGACCATCACCTCATGGGAATGTGCATTTTTATATGCTAAAATGTACTTAGCATCTTTTTAGATTTTAAGTATATCTTTGGAAGAGATTGTTAGGTTACATGGCCGGGTTGATTATGGTTTAGCATCTCTGGAATAAAACTTCTCATAGATGCAAAATTTACAGTGCCAATTCATCTACCACATTTTATTCTGATAGAATCTCTCATGTTAGCTGCTTAAGGCACGCTCTTTCCCACCTGAGAAGCTGGGATGCCATTCCCTAATATCTGCAACTTGGGGGCAAACTAACCTACTGGCTGTCGTGCAGCAAGGATGTTGTTAAGACTATCATACACATTAGATAACACTTTGAATGAAAATTTTGGAGATTACTTTTAAAGTCGGTGAAAGAATAGCTGTTTTGTTTTGTTTCCCTGAAAATTGGCCGATTTTATTTCATGACATCCATCAATCATACCTTCTATTTCTCAGCATCTGTGAGTAAAAAGTTCAGACTAAATCTGGGGGCCACATCTGCTAAGAGTAAATAATATCAAGAAAGGTATTTTCTAGGGAACAGTGAACATCTATTAAGGGTGATGGGTAAAGGTGATGGTTGAACATAATTAATGTCACTGGACTGCACATGTAAAGATTACTGATATGTCAAGGTTTTGTGACATTTACATTATGCTATGTCATGTTGCATTTATGTAAATATTGTGTTATACTTATAGAAACTATAATAAAAAGATAAAGAGATAAAAATATTGTTGTATAGTATCCTTACCCAGGATTCAGCATACTTTTCCTGAGTGTATTTTCTTTACCTTTGGCTTCTCTTTCATCCATGGTTTCTATCTTCTTGTGTTATACAAACCATTATAATTATGCTTCAGAACAAGGTAAGAGATATGCATTGATAAAATGCATTCAAGTATGGTCTTTCCCAAAGACATAAACATGTTTTCAATGAAGTAGAGCTAGGCGTTTTTCTTCTTCGTCAATCTACTCTGCTTCATTTCCAGTGATATTATCTAATGGATAGTCATTAGTCTTTCATTTTGGGTGGGAGAAAAGAACAGAAACATGATGGATGATTTGACTTTGAAAGTTTGGAGTAAATATGAAATCATATTTAGCATGTGGAAATATTATACACAATATGTAAAAATTCACTTCGTGGTAAGTTCAAAAGAATAGGGACCTTGCTTTATTGTTCATTTCTGTATCCCCAGCATGCAGAATGGAGTCTGGCAAATAGTAAGTCCCCAAATAACATATGGTAAAGGCGTGAATATCAGAGAAATAATTTTGAATATTGTGTGTGTAAATATATTTCAGTATAAGTTCAGTATCCACTACGACCCTTTCCAACTCAAATGTTCCATACTCTTGAAGGAGGTAGTACAGTTCATGTGGTGCAGTGCAGGATATTAATGTAAAAACCTCTAATACTTTGGAATTTTGTTCTCCAAACAGCATATCCAGCTACATCTTCGATAACTCCTGCAGATGTGAGCACCTCGACTCCAGACGCCACCCATCAGAGTGAGTTCAGCCGAGATGTCCTCAGAGGAGTTGAGAGACCACACACATTTTACTATAGCTACAGTCATGTTTAAGTGTTCACAAATCAAAGACCAAACCAAACTCATTGTCATTAAGACAATTCCAACTCACAGCGACCCTACAGGGTAAGAAATAACTGCATCGTTGGGTTTCTGAGACTGTGAACATTTGGGGGAGTAGAACACCTCAACTTTCTCCCCAGCTGTAGCTGGTGATTTTGAACCGCTGACTTTGCAGGTAGCAGTTCAAGACGTGATCACTACAGCACCAATGATCCTGGTTTATGCGAAAGACTATATTTTTCACTTGATATTAATATTTGGCTTTGGGTTACTCTGTGACCATTTGAAGTCTGGTGACTGTACATCTATATGACAATCCACGTAATATTAAAAATAAGGATTTATAATTTGTTATTATATTGTATTTTCCATTTGCCAAAGGATTTTCTGATATTCAAGTAATCTTCACAATATCCCCGGTGATCTGAGTTGGTGACAAGCACAGAAAAAGGAAGCACATCATGATAAGTTGGCATTAAACATAAACTGTGGAGCTTTTGCTTAATATGCCAACTAGTATTCTTGCCTAGGAAGGTCTATTTCCCATTTTAAATTTCCCCAAAGTCATGTAGATAAAAATTGAGCCTATTACAGCAAAGTTACATGATGGCTTTATTAAAAAATAATAATAAGAGGTAGATTCTGAAAACTGTATTTTTTCAGTTAGCAATTCCAGTATGACTACTCAAGGCTTCAACAACTCCTGGACCTCCAGAGGCGGAGATGATGAACAATGTAAGTCTAATGGTGGGGGCTTCTGAATCTTTTAGACTTCAGTTTGACAAAATATATCATTCACAATGAATTATGTAATGACGAAGGATCAACATTTTATATCAGAAAATTTATAAGTAATTCTTACAAGTCAATAGGGGTAAAAGAGACAAAATCAATAGAGAATAAATAAATGAATAGGCACATCATTAAACATGGAAGCCAGGAGGCTAGGACACTTGTTGGGAGGTGCTCATCCCCTCCAACAAGAAATCATAAATGAAGAGTAGACAATCATTTTAGATGGCAGTAGAAAAATTAAGAACTCTGATACTGTCAAGTGTTGGATGGTATGTCAATCAGTTTAATTTTTTAATCGAATGTTGGTGGCAGTGTGTTTTCAAGTCAAACACTCCATACTTACCTTATAATCCAAGGATTCTACTCTTGGATATAGACCCAAGGAAAATGGATATAGGAGATAGGGGGTGGGGGAGGCAACACAGCCAATAATAACAGAAGTTGGACATAATCTAAATGATCATATCCAGGATAGTGGATAAATAAATTATAGTGTTCTCATAAAACATTATGCAGGAATGAAAACTGAATGAATGACTCAGCTATAGCTTTTGTTAAGTCAAAAAATCCAATGTCGGTGGACAACATACTTGGGTATTTTTCATAAAATTAAAAAAACAAGTGAAAACTAGCACTACGTGGATCAGGTATATGTGTGATAAAATTTTTAAATATATATAAATAAGCATACGATAGCATTAGCCTTTGCTGTGGCTACAAGGGCTTGAATGGAGAGAAGATAATCAAGTGTTACTTATAACACCTCAGAAAGGTATGATGGAGGTGAGAAGGTATTGAACAAAAAATATGTTCAATAAGAGGAAAATGTAGAATAGGATGGGATCATTTGCAGATAAATATAATTTTTTATCTAATGCTGCATAAAGTGTAGTGAAAGATTATGAAGCAAGATAAAGCAATGCCCCTCATGCAGTACATGTTATCTAGCAAAAGCCTGAACTATTTTATCAATTAAAAAAAACGGAGAATAAAACGATTAGTCAGATCAGGAATGAAAGTCTGCACGTAATAGGTTTACAGTGAGCCTGCAAACTGTTATCATGAAATTGAGTTATTGATAATAAACTATCCAGAAAGCTTTTACTTTACCGACAGTAGTTGTCATTCTTTAATCTTGTGACAATAATACAAGTAAGCTTGATGAGTCTTTTGTTTGCATGTTTACTTTTATTCCCAGTGCCTTTGGTCATGACTGGCAAGGATTCAGTGATCAGTAAACAATATTTAATTGATAAATGATTTCATATATTTTGGTTAGATGGGAGGAATTATTTGGCAGTGGGTTTAAAGTTTACCATAAACTGTTGGATGAATTTCTCAAAAATGAAATTGTACTCCAACTCAAATTTGTGGTGCGATTATAATCATGGGCATTTGTTGCATGTTTCAATTCTCAGCAAAGCACGTATCCGTATCGGATGGTTTCCTTTATTTATTTTAAATATTTTAAAACTTTGAATTTAATGGAAATGACAGTGCAATGTATAACAGAACAGAGGCGAAACTTCTCTCTCTCTTTCTTACTGCTGTGTCCTAATGACTTGAAAAACGGCAGGCACACGGTAGATGGGGGGGAAGGACAAGGAAGAACACAACTGTACCCGATGAAAGCATGTGATCTGTTTGTTGTGAGTTTTCACCTTTCTACCTACTTGCTTCCTGTAAATTGCCATGACAGTAGCATGCCCGAGCAATCCCGTGCATCAGGATGACTCATGGGGGGCCCTTCCAGAGACTCTCTGCCTCCAGAAACTGGGAAACCGAGAGCACCCTGTGTGACATTGATGCATTTCAACATCCTGCTTGAAATGTATACATTTCTTGATCTTTTAAATAGATTGCCCAATAAAATGAAGTCATGTAATCCCACACCTTTTCTGACCCCCCCTATCTGAAAACTTCCTTTCCCTCGACATCTCATTGTCCTTCTCACCCTAAAAAGAGCCTTAAAAATGAGGAAAGAGAGAGGGAACGTTACAGCCAAGGAGCAATTGCAAAACGTGGTTTCGTTCCAACCAGTAGTGGTAGACTCACGTGCTTGCTTACACAGGAATTAAAAAAACAACTCGCCAAGCAGTCCTCATTTTCATCCATAAATTTAGAGGGAAAATCCCCTGTAATCGTCACACTATTTCTAATCATCACAGAGGCATTTCCAGATCCAACCAGTTAATATGGATTGCTCACTCCCAAACTGGTTTTGAAGCATGTTTTCCTTGTTGGATCAGACTGCAAGGTGACATCCAATGTTAGATGATGCTTTGGGCAGGATTCATGACAGGCATTGGACATGAGATTATTTTTTCTTGCATAATGTTTATTTCAGTGGTTTCCTGAAATGTTCCGAGGTAGGTAATGAAGGCTAATGGATCGTTTTCTAGTGACATAAACCCAGTAGTTGTGTTTTGGGGGCTCTTGGTATTTGTGGCAACATTCTACAGCTTACTTGGTTTGTACCTACATTTTGTGTACATACTTGAATGTCACTACAGTATTCTGAGGACACTGCATATATATATATATATATTTCATTTATGGGAAAATATTTTAATATGATATTATTTTCTTTTTATTTAGCAATGTGAAGAAGTCAGGAATATTGGAATCTAATTCTAGTTCAGATTCCATGTTTTCTGGAATGAAAATGCTTATTTTTCCTTTAACTATCTGTGAGATGGTTAAATCTGCCCATCTAAATATCAGAAGTTCGTAAGGTTAATGACATCCTAAGACACATTTCGACCTTTACACTCAGGTGATGAGGACACAGAACAGAAACCAAAGGTTACTTTTCCTTTCTGGTTTCTTCTTCCACCCATTTAGTCAGATGGTGATTTCGTCAACTCTGCCAGTCTGTCTAAATTAGACAAGCCGAAAATGATGAAAAATCCCAAGGCTTCCTATACTTTTAACTTGATCCATCACTAGGTGTGCACACACACGCACAAGCACACACGCACACATACGTCTGGGCCTCAGAGGACCTCTTATTGACCCCACGAGAGCTCTTCAGTTCATTCTTTGACATGATCTCATTTTTCATGTTTCAAAAATCTACCCTTCTTTCCCCACGTTATAAATACATTACTTATCCTTCTCCGTAGTGTGGCTGGTTCTTCTCGGGTTCTTGACAGCTTTGCTTAGCAATCTCGTGTAATTCTCCTACGTAAAAGATGATGACGAATTAAGAGATGAGAGTTGAGAGGCAATGGCAGGGACAAACCAACTGAACCATAGTCATTGAATCAGTTTCACGTAGAGCAGCCACTACCTGTGGTGCTTTTGTGAGACTAACTTTTTGTGGGAATAGAAAGCCTCCTCTTGCTCCTGAGGGGCAGCTGATGGTTTCAGACACTCACCTTACAGCTAGCAGCCCACCATGTAGCCTAGGACGCTTTACCTAAGGCCGCCTTTACCTCTAATGGAAGGAGCTATAACAGGAACTCTCCTGTAAGAAATCCCTGGAGCGCATTGCCCGGACCCCTCCAAAGGTCAGCTGCTGCAACTGCACTTGGCATCTAAGGAGAAGCCAAGGAGAGAGAGAGCTAGGGGGTTTTGAGGTTTGATCGTTTTCCTTGTTTTGTTTTTGTTTGCTCATTTGGTTTTGAAATAAAGAAGCTCCTTACCCAGAAAAGTCAAGTAGGATCATTTTTCTAATGAATGGATGGAATTACTTTTTACTAATGGCAACTATGTGCTCCCATCGTCATTTTACTTTGCATTACACGGCGGGTCTGTTATATATGAGGCCTGCCAAGATGTGGCGCTTTCCTGCCAGACAGAGGGAATAAACAAATGGAGTTGACAGATTTATTTCAAACGCCATATGTGGTGCTTGAGTTTGGTGCCATCCAGTCAGGGCTGATTGCCTGGGAATGCCTCAAAGCACTCCCCCTGCAGCTAACAAGGCCTCTGACCGTTCACTGCTCTGACAATTCACTACTGAGACAAGTTCAATGGTCTCAGTCCAGCAATAAAGTCAGCTTACCCACAAACACAAACTATTTCCCCGATGCCCATTCTGCATGAATCTGCAAGTCCTTTTTGGCAGCCTTTCTTGACTAATGGCCAGTGCAACACCTGGGCTTTCCTTTTTGCCCATTCTTTTGGCTCATCTCTCAAGTGGCCATCAGAGCAGTCTCAGCCCACTGTGCCTGAAGAAACCTCTTCTCGGGGACCCTTGCCAGTCCTGCTTTCCACTTCCAAGTGGCTGTTTTAGAGACATCTGGCACAGGCATCTCCCCAACTCACGGTTTACTTTGGGACTGTCTAATGTGCACTACAGGGCAGTTTGATGAATCTTGCTTAACGTATTAATATACTTTCTGTAACATTTGGATTCAGTTAAAAGTAAAGAACAGAAAATAAAATAGCTGGTCTTGCATAGGATGACTCTCTTTTTCCTTTAGCAGTCTCGTGGCTACCCAGTGAGAGGAACGGATTACCCCCCTCAGAGGCACACTCAACATTTAGTGGTGAGTACTGGGGAGGATTTAGGAGCAGGAAGTGCAGTGGTGTCCTTTCTTTGGGCAGATTTGGAAAAACAAGAAGAGACAAGAAACAAATGTCAGCTAGGCGTTTTGAATGCATCTTCCACAACTGCTTTATGATCTCACTTATTTAAAATAAGTCCATACATAGTAACTGAATGTTCTTAGCGGTTACCAGGTGTGGAAGAAAGGAGGAAACAGGAAGCTCTGGGTTGGGGTATTAGGATTACTATAGTACTAAAATAACGTGGAAGAGGAGAGCTTTGGTTGCGGCGCAGTGTGGAGAAGGCATTCCGTGTTAGTGACTTATGCATAGAGGTGTGTTGCACTGGAAAATGTTTTCACATATATTTTATCTTAATTATTTTATTTTATTTTATTTTTTTTACTTTTTTTTAATCTTAATTATTTTAAAAGAACATCTTCATGAAAAGGACAAGAGTGGGAATAAATCGAGTAAAAAATCTTCCCGATCCCTCAAAGATGAAAGTCAGAAACCAGGTCTTAGGCTTCTCCTCTTTTCTGTTTCAAGGTGAACTCTGCACTACAGCATGTGTTTTTTCACACCATGGGGAAAAATAAAAAGATTTATTTCTACTTTTAATTTTTTAAATTAAAATTTTGGATGGCTAAATTGTTCAATTGAAAAAAATGAAAATAATTGAATTGTTAAATAACATAGATTTTTCTTCTCAAATTTTAGGAAGACTTTTTGTTGTTGTTGACTTTATTAAATATACTGAGATCAGGAGAATCACTATTTTGATAGGCTGAAGCTGATGTAGCTAGAGAGAATGGAGACAGAGCCTAATGCTTCCACGCCCTCAGCTTATGACATTTAAATTTGTCATAAAGCTTCTTTGCCAGGTATCATTCAGTTGTTTAGAAGTGTGCTTCTTCTCGCTTTTTCTTTAAACCAATGGAAACTGTCACTCCTTGGCTCCAAGCCTCCCTGCGTATTGGCCCTTGGTAAACTTCCGATGTATGTTAGGAGGATTCAAACCATCCAAATGGAATTCTTCCAAATACCAAGTGATATCCAATCATGATTTCACGTGATTGTACTCCTCATGATTAGGGTGAAATGACTCTTAGGATTACTCCAGATGTACATATGTCCTTTATATCTCTAAGTGAAATCTTTGCCCGCACAGCCAGAATTTCAGAAGTCCTTACAACGGCCCATGGATTTAATGAAAATCACCATGTTTATATCACCAAAGGGTCATTTTGCGTATCATTTATTGGATTTTATGTTTTGTTCACTGAACAAGTATTTTATTGGGTACCTACCCTTTCCAAGCATCTTGCCATATGCTGGCATATGGTGAGAACACTGACTCTCATGTTTGAGGAGAGATATAGTAAACAAATCATCATACAGCTAAACGCATTGAAGTGAGCTCTATGACATAGTACCAGTATTTGCCAGAGTGTAACAGAAAAATTTTAATTGGAAAGTATAGTTCTCGGAGGATGTGCTATTTAAGCAAAACTATGAAAGATGAGTAAGAACTAACCAGATGAAAAGTAGCAAAAACCATTTCAGGCCTGTGAAAAGTCTGGGGCAGGAATGAAATTGTTGGAGCAAAGAATATGCCTGTAAGTCAACTCATTAAAAAAAAAAAAATGTTGTTAATGAAAAATATAATCCCTTGTTTTATACACAGTAAGAGGACAAGGAATCCAGATTGTAAATTCGCAGGCCTGATTAACTCTTTCACTTCAGGGGTGTGACCACTTCCCTGGTAAACGTATCTCTCTGGGTGTCAGTTTCCTCTGTGTGGAAAACTAAACGGCTTCCTCTGTCTTCAGGCCATAGGAGCCTTATTCTACGTAAAACATGGTGGTAGACTCCTATTACCAGCAAATCACAGTCCTACCAATACCTTCAAGACAGTATTGTCTTTAAGACTGCCTGGTCTAGTGATGGAGGAACCCTGATAGCGTAATGGTTATGTGTTGTGCTGCTAACCACAAAGTCAGCAGCTCAAAACCATGAGTCGCTCCTCAGGTGAAAGATGGGGCTTTCTACTCCTGTAACGAGTAGAAGCCCACGGGGGCAGTTCTACCCTGTCCTATAAGGTCAGTAGGAGTCAGCATCAACTCAAGGGCAGTGAAGTTTGGGGGACCCTGAAGTGGGGCAAGATGGGAGCCTTGCTTTTCCGCTGAGCCACACTTGAAGGCAATGCCCCATTTCCTGTGTTTGGTTGGAAGAGAATGTATAGGGATTTATTAAAGACCTTTTGACAACCCGTTGTTACTTTATTTCTTTAAAACATTGAAGGAAAATAGTATATCCTCCTAGATGGGGAGAGAGGGAAGGAAATAACCCCTCTGTTATCAAATTATTTCCAACTCAACGTGACCCTACCTAGAGTTTCTGAGACTGGAGGTATTTACAGGAGCGGACAGCCTCATCTTTCTACTGGAAAGTGGCTGGTGGGTTTGAACTACTGTCCTTGTGGATACCAAAGCAATGCTTACCCAACAAAGCCTCCAAGGCTCCTAGATTACCAATAGAAACCTAAACCAAACTTATGCCATTGAGTGGATTCTACGCATAGTGACCCTAAAATCAGAGGAGAATTTCCCTTTGTGGTTTGTGGTTTGCGGTAACAACCTACTCTACCACCAGGACTACTTAGATTACCACTGCAGAGCCACCTAAATTTAGCTTTGACTAGCACAGAATCTTGTTCAGTCCTGAGGCTACCACGTGAGTGATCATCAGCTCTGGCTGTTTGAGCAATGAGCACTTTCTAGCAATCTGTATATTCAACATACTGTAGGATCACATATTACAGGAGTCCATAAACTACCAAGGGACTCGGTGCCTGGTTTGGCTTTCATGAGTTGGGGTGAGCATCGAGAAGACCTTAAATCCTAGAACGTGAGTTGTATGCAAAGAAAAATCTTCAGTATTGATACCCAGTGTTCATGTAACAAAATGCCCATGGTGTGATACAAACCGTGGGAAACGGAAAGTATTTGATAACTCATATTTTAAATTCTAGTCTTTGGCATATATTTTTAAAGACTTTGTTGCATGAAAAGCAGTATGATAAAAACTACATGAATGAAAGTATTAAAGACGCAGTCTCCATCGACAAGAAGTTTATAATCTGGTTGAAATCATGAAAAAACCAATTTTTAAAATCATTTTATTGGGGCTCGTACAGCTCTTATCACAATCATTCTGAGCCAAAAATACTTCTTTTGCCCAAAGAATCTTTGAAATTTATAATTTATAAGCAATTTCATTAGAATGTTTTTCAAAGTAACAAAAGCCCTGGAAACAATTTAACCATCTAAACTTAGAGATCAATTAAAGAAGCTATGGTAGAGCAATATTTTTATTGAAAAACTACAGACATTTATTAGAGGAGGGTAAATCTCTGGTATGAATGCAAAAAAAAACACCTTTTTTTAATAAAATCATTTTATTGGGGGCTCATAAAACTCTTATCCGAACCCATACATACATTAGTTGTGTAATGCACATTTGTACATTCGTTGCCCTCATCATTCTCAAAACATTTGCTCTCCACTTAAGCCCTTGGCATCAGCTCCTCATTTTTCCCCCTCCCTCCCCACTCACCCCTCCCTCATGAACCCTTGATAATTTAGAAATTATTATTTTGTCATAGCTTACACTGTCCGACGTCTCCCTTCACCCACTTTTCTGTTGTCCATCCCCCAGGGAGGGGGTTATATGTAGATCCTTGTAATCGGTTCCCCCTTTCCACTCCACCCTTCTTCCACCCTCCCAGTATCGCCACTCTCACCACTGGTCCTCAAGGGATCATCCGCCCTGGATTCCCTGTGTTTCCAGTTCCTTTCTGTACCAGTGTACATCCTCTGGTTTAGCCAGATTTGTAAGGTAGAATTGGGATCATGATAGTGGTTGAGGAGGAAGCATTCAAGGACTAGAGGAAAGTTGTATGTTTCATTGTTGCTACACTACACCCTGACTGGTTCCTCTCCTCCCTGTGACCCTTCCATAAGGGGATGTCCAGTTGCCTACAGATGGGCTTTGGGTCCCCACTCCACACTCCCCCTGATTCACAATGATATGATTTTTGAGGCCTGATACCTGATCCCTTCAACACCTCGTAATTGCACAGGCTGGTGTGCTTCCTCCATGTGGGATTTGTTGCTTCTCAGCTAAATGGTCACTTGTTTACCTTGAAGCCTTTAAGACCCCAGACACTATTTATTTTGATAGCTGGGCATCATCAGCTTTCTTCACCACATTGCTTATGCACCCATTTGTCTTCAGGAATTGTATTGGGGAGGTGAGCACACAATGATATGATTTTTTATTCCTTGATGCCTGATACCCGATCCCTTCGACACCTCATGATCACACAGGCTGATGTGCTTCTTCCATATGGGCTTTGTTGCTTTTGAGCTAGATGGCTGCTTGCCTTTGTTGCTTCTGAGCTAGATGGCTGCTTCAAGCCTTTAAGACCCCAGACGCTATATCTTTTGATAGCCAGGCTCCATCAGCTTTCTTCACCACATTTGCTTATGCACTCACTTTGTCTTAAGCAATTGTGTCGGGAAGGTGAGCATCATGGGATGCCAGTTTAATAGAGCAAAGTATTATTGCATTGAGGCCCAATGCAAGAGTGGAGGCCCAATGTCCATCTGCTACCTTAATATTAAACCTATAAATATATGCATGTAGATCTATTTCCCCATCCTCATACATAAATATATTTACATATGTACATGCCTTTATTTAGACCTCTATAAATGCCCTTTGCCTCCTAGCTCTTT